CATCAGTTAACAGTGTTTCTCTCTATCCTCTTTAGCTTTTTTTTTTTTGGTGGGGGGAGGGCGGGGGAAACTTTGCCTTTTTGGAGCAATGCTAGTTTTTATTGTTTTGTTTATAATGAGCTGTATAGACATCTTTTTCTGGGATATTTGTTATAGAGAAAGTGACCTTTTTTCCAGACTTTCAAATTGTCTTTTTTGAATTCTTAAGTGTTGTGATTTATTTTGGATGAGAATTTATTTTTATTTCTAGACGTTTTCTTTCATTCTTCAGAAAATCATCCAGAACTTAAGAAATTGTGTAATTAAAAACAACACAACATTGTTGTTTAGGTGAAAGTGTACAGAACAAATTAGTTTCCCTTTTAACAATTTATATAGCTTGTTCTCTGACATTGGTTGTATTCCCTACAGAGTGTCAGTACTTTCTCCCCATTTCTACTTTGGGTTCCCACTCCATTTGCCTAGTTTCCCTGCCCTTTCCTGCCTTTTAAACTTTGCTTTTGAGCAGTTGCTGTCCATCTGGTCTCTTACAGTTGATTGCTCTCAGGAGCATGTTCCTCCTGGGTATTATCGTTCACTGTATAGACCTGTCTTTCATGTGACTTCTGGGAGTGGCTTCATTTTTAAGTGCTACAGTCTTAGGGTTCCTTCCCCCAGTCTCTATCAGACTAGTAATTCTGGTCGTTTTTAAAAATCTTTTTGTGAATTGAGTGAGGTTTACACACAAGATCATCAGTTTTGCATTCAACAAATCATATACTTTGTTCTATTTCAATAATTGCAGTCCCCTCCATGGAACAATAGTTATTCCCCTTCCTCCATGTAGTTCCTGTTTGCATCCCACCTGCCTTCCCATCCCTTCTCAACTTTGTCCTTAGGAAAATGTTGCCCTTTTGATTTTGAATGATTGACTATTCCATGGTGAGCATTACCTTGTTAGTGTTGTCCCTCCCTATATATATACCTATCTACTGCTTGGCTAAAATTGGGGCACAAGGATGATGGAGGACCATTGTCTCAGGTTCCTCCAGTCTCTTTTTGACCAGTAAAGTGCTCTTTTTTTTAAAATAATTTTGAGTTTTATTCCACATTTTCTCTGGAACCCTCTACTGTGATCCCTTTCAGGACAATTGGTAGTGGTAACCAGGCACTGTCTAGTTTTCCTGGTATCAGAGTTGTGGAGACTGACGTTCACGTGTTCTCTTAGTCCATTGGACTGATTTCCAAGCCTTTTCAGTTCTTATCATTCTTCTTTGTTCAGTATATGGAGAGACCAATAGCTATACCGTAGACGGCTGCTCATGAGCAATTAAGATCCCAGATGCTAAGTGTGGTTATTTTTATGAATTTGAATTAGTTCTACTTTTTTCTCCCACTGTCACTGATACTCTCTAGTCATTCAGTGGTGGTAGCTGTGCTCCATGTAGTTCTGGTCTCAGTGGAGGCTGTGGTTCATTTGGTTCTTTGAAGAATTATTTCCTTGAGTCATTAGTTTTCTTTGCTCTTCTTTGCTCTGAACAGAGAAAGACCAATAGTTATAACTTAAATGGCCACTGCCACTTAGATCCCGGTCACTATTCACCAAAGTAGGATGTAGAACATTGTCTTTATGAAGGACTGTGTTAAGCCATTTGACCTAGACGTCCCCTGAGACTATCGTCCCTAGCCCTGAAGCCCGGTATCGCATATCTTAGTCACAGGGGTGTTTGATTATGGCTAAAAGGTGTTCTTGATTGAGACCCTGTACACTCTATTATATTGTTGTTAATAAGTGCCACAGAGTTGGTTCTAACTCATAGTGACTCTGTATAGAGTTTCTCAGGCTTTTAAATCTTCACAAGAGTAGAAAGCATCTTTTTCCAGTGGAGTGGCTGGGCAGGCTCGAACCATGGATCCCTGGTGGTTCACAGTACACGAAGTCACCGCACTTCCGTATACTTACTTACTATTTTGTTGTTGTTGAAGAATCAGTAACGAGTCATAGTGACCTTATGCACAACAGAATGAAACACTGCCGAGTCATGTGCCAGTGTTACACTTGTTGCCTGAGCCCACTCCTGCTGCCACTGTGTCAGTCTATCTTACTGGGGGTCTTCCTCTTTTTTGCTGAACATCCACTTCACAAAGCATAATGTCATTCTCCAGGGCCTGGCCCCTCCTAATAATATGTCCAAAGTATAAGAGATGAAATCTCACCATACTGGATTCTAAGGAGCATTCTGGCTGTACTTCTTTTAACACAGATTTGTTTGTTCTTTTGATAGTCCCTGGTACTTTTAATATTATTTTCCATCACCATAACTCAAATGCATCAGTCTTCCTTATACATTGTCAGCTTTCACATGCAGATGAGGCTATTGAAAGTATCATATTTTGGGTTCCTCATGAGTGTTCTAGAATACTCATTGACCGCAATGCTGCCCATGCTTGTCATGATCCACATGATTGAAAGCCTTTGCATAGTCAATAAAGCACTGGTGTTTTCTGCTTTCAGCTAAGACCCATCTGACATCAGCAGTGATATCTGTTGTTGCACATCCCTGTCTGAATCCAGGCTGAACCTCTAGGAGCTCCCTGACAATCTACTGTTGCAGCTGTTTTTGAATTATCTTTAGCAAAATTTTTTACTTGCTTGCAATATTAATGATATTGTCCGATGATTTCCGCATTATGTTAGGTCACCTTTCTTTGGAATGTGCACAAAATGGATCTCTTTCCATCAGTTGGCCAGGTAGCTGTCTTCCTTATTTCTTGGCATAGATGAGTGAGTGCCTCCTGTGCTGCTTCAGTTCATTGAAAGATTTCAGTTTGTATTCCATCAATTCCTGGAGCCTTGTTCTTTGCTAGTCCTTTCAGTGCATCTTGGATTTCTTCCTTCCATTTCTTGATCATATGCTATCTCTTGAAATGGCTAAACATCGACCATTTCTTTTTGGTATGGTGACTCTGTGTATTCCTTTTTTTTTTTTTTTTTAACCCTTTCTGTAACATTAAATATTTTGCCTATAGAATCCTTTAATATTTAAGTTGAGACTTGAGTTTTTTTCTCCAGTTCCCTGAACTTGAGAAATGCTGAGTGTTTTCTAACTCCTAATCTTTGCACATTTCATTACAATATTAGACTTTTGCCTTTTTGAGCTCCCCTTTGAAATTTTTTATTCAGCTCTTTTACCTCATTTCTTTCATTTATATTAGCATCTCTGTGCTGAAGAGCAGGTTTCAGAGTCTCTTCTGATATCCATTTTGGTCTTTTCCTTCTTTCTTGTCTTCTTAATGACGTTTTGCTTTCTTCCTGTATGATGTTCTTGATATCATTCCACAACTCTTTCTGGTTCTGTCATTAGTGTCCAGTTCATCAAATCTGTTCTTGAGATGATCTCTAAATTCTGGTGGGTTATATTCAAGGCTATATTTTGACTCTCACTGACTTAATGTAATTTTCTTCAGCTTCTGCCTGAACTTTCAGAATATAAGCTGTGGAGGGTCTCTTCCACAGTCTGTTCCTGGCTTTGTTTTGGCTTATGATACGGAGCTTTTCCATGGTCTCTTTCCACAGATGTAATCAATTTGCCATTTTAGCTTACTAACACCTAGGATATCGATCTTTATGTATTCCATTTTGCTTTTGACAACTTCTAGTTTTCCTAGATTCATACTTCATATGTTTCATGTTCTAACTATTAATGGATATGTACAGCTGTTGCTCCTCATTTTCACTTGTAACCCATCAGCAAATGAATGTCCCGAAAGCTTACGTCATATAACAGTCAACTCTACTTTGAGGAGGCAGCTCTTCCCCAGTTCCATTTTGAGTGCCTTTCAACTAGAGGGGTTGATTTTCTGGTACTATATTGACAGTATTCTGGTGCCCTTCATCATGTTTCAGTAGTCAGTATTGTAGTGCGGCAGTGTCCATGTAAGATTTCCAATGACTGTCCTTTCTACTCTGTCTTATACTGGAAGCTCAGCTGAACGGTCCACCATGGGTTACCCTGCTGGTATTAAAATATTGGTGGCATGGTGTCCAGAATCACAGCAACATGCGAGCCATCACAGTACAACAAATTGACAGATGAGTGGTGGCTATTATGTGTTGTTGTTGTTGTTAAGTGCTGTCAAGTCTATTCTGACTCAGCGATTTGTATAGGGTTTCTGAGGACCAGCTGGTGACTGAACTACCATACCAGTCTGATGGTTTGTAGTCCAGTACTTATACTGCAGTGCCATACCAAGACTCCAAAGAACAAACTAGGTTTTCTATAATTCACACAAATGTCTTGAGTTCTTTTTCTTTTTCTTTTTTCTTTAGTTTTTATTGTGGATTGAATAAAAGTTTACAGGGCAGATGATCAGTTTTACATTCAACAAATCATATACCTTGTCTCATTACAATGATAATAATCCCCTCCATGTGCCATCAGTTAACAGTATTTCTCTCTATTCACTTTTAGCTCTTATATTTTTTTTTAAAAAAAGAACACTTAGGCTTATATAATAATTTACACCACCAAAGGGCACATTCTGCAAGTTTGCCTCCTGGCCACCAGCTCTTAGTCCCTCTCTTCCCATGAATCTAGAGTCCTCAGCTGCTTCCTCTCTCCATGTTCCCGTCTCTGCCTCCATCTCTGGTGTTGCTGCTTCTCTGGATAAGGTCCCGCATTCCACTTGTGCTCTTCTCCCTTAATGATCTTAGGGTCCTTTGTTTCTAGATTGATTTTTTTCTATCGTACAGATTCTTTGTGCTGTCTAACAACAAAATACTAAATTTGTATTGAAAACTCACTTCACTCAGAACTAGGAATGTGATATGAATAGACACTGTTGAAATGGGAAATCTGCTGTGACGGCTTTTTAGTAGTAAAGTCTTTGAATTTTCTTTGTTGTTAGTACCATTAAGTTGGTTCCAACTCATAGCAACCTTTTATAGAATTTCTGAGGAGCAGCTGGTGGGTTTGAACTGCCAACCTTGTAGTTTTCAGTCCAGTGTTGATCCTACAGTGCCAATTTTGTTTAGGTCCTTAAAAGAAAAATAAATAAATAAATAAATAAAAGTTGATGTTGTTAAGTGCTGTCAAGTCGGTTCTGACCTATAGCAAACCCTGTATAGAGTTTCCCAGTTGTAACTGGTTGAGTTTGAACCACTGACCTTGCGGTTCAAACTGACTTTGCAGTCCAGTGCGTTTACCCCCAGCACTACACCAGGACTCCACCAAAATCTGTAAAAAATTAAATATTATAGTAGTAAGATATGTCATAATAAAAATTCCTGTTAGATGAGAGATTCGCTGATCCCAAATCAAATACTCACTTTGTCTAACTAACTCCATTTTAATTTTCAGATATTTTGAAGATGAAGAAGAAGACTCTAGCAATGTTGATTTGCCTTACATTCCTGCTGAAAACTCACCCACCCGCCAGCAATTCCATTCTAAGCCTGCAGATTCTGACAGTGATGATGACCCTTTGGAGGCATTCATGGCTGAAGTGGAGGCAAGTGTCAACTTTTTAGCTCTTTCTTAAGAATATTTACCAATTAGAAATCAAGTTAATCTAGCTAGTATGTAAATCTTATTTGAGAATTTTCCTCTAGTCATCTCTAGTTTCTTGTATTTACTTCCATTTGCTCTGCAGTATTTTCAGAGGTGATTGGCAGCTAGGAATGTGAATTGTAACCCTTTTTTCTCATTATTTTGTGTATGAAGATTTTCAGACACAAATGTAGAATACAGTGATCCTCATGTACCCATCATTGAGTGCCCATCATTAAACTTTTTTGTCAGTTAACTTTAGGTCAGTGTGTGTTGTCTGACCCCTTGGACACTGGTTCCTTTTTGGATGATTTTGAAGCAGATCCTAGGCATATCATTTCATCTCTTAAGTATTTCTTTACATCTCTGTTGTTGTTGTTAAGTGTCGCGGAGTTGGTTCCGACTCATAGTGACCCTACACAGGGTTTCCGAGGCTGTAAATCTTTACAGGAGCAGAAAGCCTCATCTTTCTCCCACGAACAGCTGTTAGTTTCGAACAGCTGACCTTGCGGTTCGCAGCCCAATTCGTAACCACTACGCTACCAGAGCTCCTGTACATCTCTATTAGGTAGCGCTTAAAATATGTAACCAACATATCATTGTGACATCTTTTGAAAAGTCATGAACTGTCCTTCTATCTGTTAGCTGGTATTCTTGTGATTTTCTTCCTTACAGTTTCTAAACCATGGAGGTGCTCCTAAAGTTGTATATACGAGGTGGTATCAAAAAGATTGTGGATCATTCCATTATCTTTTCATTTCATTTTCCACGAACTTTTTGAAGCTTAGCAATATACTGATTTGGTATCTTCAGTCTCTACAGATTCCTTAGTGACACTTCATCCACGTCTGAAGCTTTTGTGACTGATTTTCAAATTCATGTTTTTTCTCTGGTTTCAGCTTTGCTTTTCTATGAGTAGATTGTTCATTTTTACATACGGGTGTCCCACTGACATCTTAAACCCAACTTAGGCCATCTTTCTTTGCCAACTAAGTCTTTGTATCTATATCTGTTAATGGTGCCGATATTAACAGTTACCTCAGCTTAAAATCTTGTGTTAACTTCTTCCTTCCACTTGCAACCCCCCTTTTCTTCTAGCAAATGATAGAAGCATGTGTGTAATTTTTTTTCTTTCTTTTGGTCCTCAAAATAACTAGAAAATGGGCAGAATATATATGAGCTGCGATTGACTTGATGACAGTGGGTTTAAGTGGTTGATACACATTGTTGTTGTTAAGTGCTTTCGAGTCAGTTCCCACTCGTAGCAACCCTGTATAGAGTTTCTAAGGAGCAGCAGGTAGGTTTGAACCACCGACCTTATGGTTAGCAGTACAGTGCTTAACCTACAGCGCCACACCAGGACCCTAAACCTAAACCCACTGCCATCAAGTTGATTTCCAGCTCATAGCGACCTATGTAGAGTTTCTGAGACTGTAAATTTTTACAAGAGCTGACAGCTTCATCTGTCTCTCACAGAACTGCTGGTGGATTTAAACTGCTGACTTGTGGTTAGCAGCCCACCAGCGCTCCATACATACATGTTGTTGTTATGTGCTGTCAAATTAGTTCCCACTCATAGCGATTCTGTATAGGGTTTCTAAGGAGCAGCTAGTGTTCACAGTTCAGTGCTGATCCTGCAATGCCACACCAGGAGTCATATTTATACATGTACATATATACATACATCCACACACGTACATACTTTAACTGATCACAAGACTGTGCCTTTAGATTATTCTAGTCACTTGCCACAGCTGGGACTCAAATCTAATTTTCCTTGCTTAGTAGTTGTGAGACGGTAGCTTCTTTTCAGTATGCTGTGCTATTTTCATCTCATTTGCCAGTCTATAATACCAATTTTATCGTTCTTTCCTTCATGTTCCCATTGTTACCCTGCTTTATCCCCTCACTAACTTTTTTTTTTAATGTTTTACTGTGAATTATGTGATAGTTTACATGGGAACATGGGAGAACATTAGTTTTACATTCATCCTATTGTATGTCGTTTCATTGCCATGGTTACTATCCCCTCCATGCAGCATCAACCAACCAAAGGGTATACACTGCAAGCCTGACCCCCTGTCATCAGCACACAGCCCTTCTCCGTTTCTGGGTGTAAAGTCCCCAGCTGCTCCATCTTTCCACATCATCCTCTCTGTCTCCATCTCTGGTGTCATTGCTTCTTTGGGTAGGGTCCGCTCTCTGCCCTTCTCCCTGGATGGTCCAAGGGACCTCCGCTCCTAGACTGAAAAGTTAATCACTTCCCTCCTTTTGCTACAAAACGTCTACCTTTACATTTCCAACCCTCACAATCAGTCCTAATTAACAATTATTCACTATTGTAGCACAAGAGACTTATCCACATTTCCTTTCATCAGCCCCACATAGACAGATTGGATACTACTCAGTGGAGATTCTACCTTCCTCCACGCCCTCTGGATCTAGCCTCCCTCTTGAAAGCTTGTAAGCCAGTCACTTCCTGCCTTTGTAGCGCCGTCCTCACCCCCACCCCATTTTGTGTAGCCAATATCCACTCTGTGTATGGAAGGGGTGGGAATGATCCTTGCTGTAAAGATTTGTTCCCTCTTTTGACCTCCTGCATCCATAGGTATAGGTCAAGTTCATCAGATTATATCAGACTACTCTTTTTGCCTCTTCTAGTTGAGTTCTGAACATCCAGTCATTGAAGCCAGGTCAAGTGGGTATTGTCTGCAAGTGTGGGTGTTCTTGTGCAAATGCCCTCTCTTATCAGCTGGACGCTTCACTCTCCACTCTAGCCCTCTGTGGTTGTGTCACTGACTCTGGGCCCAAGAGTCCCCAGATCTTGCCATACTGCTGGCCAACCAGGTCTCCACCTGAGTTCACAGGAGTCTATCCTCACTAGCTTTTGACTGGTATCAATGTTCTGCTTTTGGCAGCTGTAGAGTCCTAGACTAAAAGCAGGTTTCAAAAATTGCCACTTTACTTATGAAATAAAATCTTCCAATTCTTTACTTACCTGTTATCTGAAGTCTTTAGCCTGAAAATCAGTGTCTCCAGTAAGGAAGAAGAGGAAGAAAGAATTCAAGATATATGTGTTTTGTTTGGCCTGGACATTTCTTTTTCTAACAAGTGAGCCATATTTTTCAAATCAGAAGATTCTCCCAAAAAGTTCAGGCTGTTGGAATATTTTAAGGTTCTAAATTATATCATAAATTTAGGAGAGTGAATTCAAAAGATGATCAAAGATCAACTATTAAGACTCAAGCACAGTTTTTAAAATATTTGCGTATTTTACTTTGAAAAATCATTGTCAAAATAAAATTTTATGCTTTCTTGGAACATTTTGTTTAGCAAAAGCTATTTGTGGCATTTTTCCCAATTTGAAAATTCTTTATAAAGAGCTTTTAATGTGTTTAGTTGATATGATTCCATCTGGCCTTTTGTTTCATTAGGATCAGGCGGCTAGGGACATGAAGAGGCTTGAAGACAAGGACAAGGAAAGAAAAAACGTAAAGTAAGTTGTTTTCTTCGTCTTCACAATGGTTACATGGAACTTGCTAATGCATTGTAAAATCTATACTCCTAAAGTTTGTAGAAACTTTAATATGTCCCATATTAGTAGAAAATAGGGTAAATACCTATAGAATTGATCAGGAGCAGTAAGGATGGTACATAGTTATGTATATAGTCAGGAATGATAAGCCTAATTTTATTGAAGGAGTGGCATCATGCTTTAGCAACTGTAGCCAGAACTTGAAATGTTTTATTTTTTGAAGAAAAGAAGTTCTCCTCTTGTGCTCGCTAAATAACACTCCTCCTAAGGCTTTTGCTACCAGGCAAAAGGTATGCATGGTTGGACTTTTTCCTCCCTCTGCTTGGCAGTCACTTGCAAGCCCTCCTCAAGGTTCTTATGCCATCTGAAAGTTCAGCCCTCTTGTCAGTGCTTGCTTTGTGTTGCATCCTCTTCCAACTGCCCTATGTGGCATTGCTTATTGGTTGCCTTGGAATAGTTAGTGCTCTGAGTTAGGCAGAAAGTCTAACTAGAAAGAGAAGGTTGTGAGAACTGAGCAGCCATACTTCTAAAAGCTCTTGAAAGATGCAGTAGCTGGTGGCAGTCTCTGTGGCCATGTGAACTGCCTAGGCTTATGTCCAAATTCAATGAGGAATTGATGTCGTGAATCCCCTTGATAACTGACTCTTGGCAAAAAAGTTACTTCAGAGTTAAAAATTTTAGGTGCCATTAAGAACATTAAGACTTTTATTCCCCATACCAAATGTATATATTTAGAATTCACAATGCATGCAGGATTTCGTTTTATTTTTTTAAATATAAAATGCTTTTCACAACCGCAGTATGTCTGTTTTATGGGGTTGGCAAGGCTAGGATCCTTTGATACCTATCTTCACAGAGTTCTTACTCTTTATATGCTGGTTAGTAATTTAATATTTCCAGAGATGCTATATCATTCTGTCCAAAAGGAATGCAAACCAAAGCTTGAGTGAAACCATACATACATGAGGGGTGGATAGTTTACAGTGTGTTTATTGCTGCTTTGTTATTGTTAGTGTTGAGAGTTCCTGAGCTGAATGGAATTCAACACTAATCTGCTATAAGTATGGAGCTGGGTATGTGGAACATTTGCAGGGAAGTTTGTTTCTCCGCTTGTTTTTCCAGGGGTATTCGAGATGACATTGAAGAGGAAGATGACCAAGTGAGTTCCTATGCAGTATTTCTATCTTTTATTTTTACCCCCAAAGTCTATACTGGGGACAAGCTAGAGCTTGCCTTCACTGAGATGACCATTCCTGACATTCAGCAGGGAATGTCATTGGACTTGCTCGTGTTCTACATGTGTGACCAGTTGTTGATATAAAGATTGACATAGCTTTCTCTCATATTGAAGATGGACCTTTTGATCAACTATGACAACTAAAAACAAATAGGAGCTTTATTTATTTTTTTTAATGCAAAATCAAAAATGTTTATTTACATAAATCAAGAAATAGAGTAGTGTGGAATCTTTTGACAGCCTCTAGCTAAATCAAACCTGTATCTCTTTCTAAGAGTTCTATTTGTGTTTCTTGTATTTCAAGAAGAAAGATTAGTGTAATGCCTGTCTCTTAGTTTTTATTTTGTTTCTCCCACTGTTCATTTGTAGGATGATGAGAAGTAGTCTTCTCAGGTTTTTGACCTTTCTCATCTAAAGTGTCACCTTTCAAACTTGGATCAGTAAAGTCTTTAACATGTGTCTACAACCCTGGGCAGTGTAGGTAGAAGCTCCTCCCCAGAGAGGCTATGGGATAGGCAGCTCTGGAAAATCATTTTGTAGTACTATCTGCCTCATTCATTTCTTCAGATTATCCCTTGCAATATTGCTACTATTTGAGGGAAGAATTGCTAGGAAAAGTCTTGGCTGCCTTGGTAGGTATTAAACTGTGCAGTCATCTGGTATATCGTGTGCATTCATTACAGGAGCAGAAGTGGTCTTTGTTGTACTTGGATGTGATGATGTTTGTATGCTTTCCTGCAGGAAGCTTATTTTCGATACATGGCAGAAAATCCAACTGCTGGTGTGGTTCAGGAGGAGGAGGAAGATAATCTGGAGTATGATAGTGATGGAAATCCGATTGCACCTTCCAAAAAAATCATTGATCCTCTTCCTCCCATCGATCATTCAGAGGTATGGTGTTTCTTGCTGAATTTTCAGCACTACTGTTTAGATTTTTTTTCAATATTCAAGTACTCCTGATTCATACTCTTTGAGTATTTGTTCTTTGGGATCTTGTCATCTCTGCAGCATGACTGAGCCAAATTCTTTGAGGTCTGTCCTACAGCCTGTGCTTTTATTGAAGCAAGTGAATCACTTGCTCATTTTGAATTCTAGGTTAGAAAAATTTTTCCAAGCAATTGTACTTACTTTTAGGACTAAACCTTGTTATTTCTCTTTTAGAATGGATGGTTGAGCTGCATTTGTTTTTTTAATTGCTATAAATCTTTTCTATTGGATACAAATCTGTTCCTTGAGCACAGGCAGGAATTCTAGGTCCCTTAAACCAGGAAAAGGGAGTGGGCTGGTTTTCATCAACTCTGGTGATTTTACACCTAGAGCAGTAGTTTTCTGTGTGGTCCATGAATCCTTCGAGGTCCTAGAGACTCTTTTAGGGAGTCCATAAGGTCAAACCTATTTTTACAATGCAAGTAGCCATTCAGAAATGACCATTGGTCAAATTTTAGTACAGTGTCAAAGAAGAATATATATTTAAAAGTATATGAAAAGGCCATAAAAATACTTTCTTCCCTATTGTAAGTACATTTCTTTTAAACCAGATTTTCTTCGTAGACGTCACCCACACAAACAAAAAGCTTCTGCACCAGTTTGAGTTTGCATGTGCACTATGAGGCAATTTATATAAGTCAGACATGAAAGAGATCTGTCAAAGTGTCAAGCAATACCATACTTCTCACCAAACCTTTATTTGGAAAATAAACTTATTTTTATTAATATATTTATTTTAAAAATTTAGTGAGTTTATTATTACTCTTAAATGCATTAATATTTAACATTTTTAATTTTAATATAGTAAATATTGATAGTTAAAGTCACATAAGCGAAAAGCTTGCGCTTTTGTTTTATAAGTTTAAAAGGGACCTGAGATCAAAAAGTTTGAAAACTGGTAGTCTGAACTTACAGTACAGATTATATTCAATTTTTAAATGTTTCCTTTTGTACGGATGCTACCACATAATACATAGGGCAAATGAAATTAAATACGTGAAACTGATGTAGGAGGAAATGACCATGATACATATGAAAATCAGTACTTGAAGTAGCCAGTCATCTAATAAAAGATTTGGGAAACTTGACAGAAGACTTAAGTTTGATCACCATGCTGGAGTACCCTGTGATTGTTCCAGTGTAATAGTCTGTCAGGAAACTGTGGAAATGAGGGAAGGAAGGGGCCCTATCAGATCTCGTTACTTCAGGCAAAGAATGTTGAGTTGCATCAAGCCTCTGGAGAGAAGAGAAGACTCATTTCTCCAGAGGACAGCTCATCCCTTGTGCCCTTACTGTACCCCATCCGTTTCTAGGAGTTCTCTTTCTACTCTGAAGAAGCCTGTATTAGGTAGGAGGAGCCTGGGGTAGCCAGATTGTTGTTAGTTGCTGTTGAGCCAGTTCCATGATCTAAGGATGAGTTGATTATAGATGTTTCAGGATGTCAGAAGAGAATCATTTATCCAAATTCATGTGGTGATGTACCTGTGTTTTGTATCCTTCATACCATAAGCTATGGAAAGAGTAGAAGAAGTGATTTTTTTCAACTCTTCGAAGTTAAAAATGTTTGTCCATATATTTTCAAAAGTTAAATGAACAGCTGTTTTGAAAGAGCAGAACTCCATCTAAAGGCAGAACTATTTCCAAAGGAAATACTAGAAATATTTTTAAATCCTAGAACTAGGTGAACAGTTTACTTCGGAACATGTTATTGGGTAAAATACTTATTTTAAACAATTGTCCTCAGAAACTGTTGGCATTGTAGAGATTTCCTTAATCTGCTTCAAGGTCATTCAAGTCTATAGTGTGAAGTGTCTCTTTAGGATGAAGCTTGGTGTTTATGTTGAAAAAGGAATGGGAGAAGGTATGCGCTATACTTTTGGGGATGTGTGTCTTGAATTAATGAATTCCTTTGTTCTTTCAAGCTGGTTATGGCTTATGTGATATTTGTAAAAGTTTATTTTACATTAAAATCAAACTTACAGGATTGACTCTTGAATTCTAGACTAACTTTGAATAATTGGACCTGCAGATTGACTACCCACCATTTGAAAAAAATTTTTACAACGAGCATGAAGAGATAACCAACCTCACCCCACAGCAGTTAATAGATCTCCGGCATAAGCTCAATCTTCGGGTAAGACAATCGTTAAGCCAAATATTCTCTTATGAACATGCTATTATTACTTAGCCAAACTAAAATAACCTTCAATTTCTTTTCTGATGGTCCCTGAACTATCTTTGATAGAATAGTTATTATATCCCTTGGTTTTGTTTTTATCGTTTTCTTCCTTCAAGCAAGATTTTTATTTTTAAAATAATACATTTTAAAAATGTGATAGTTTACGTGGGAGAACACTAGCTTTACATTCATCCTATCGTATATCGTTTCATTACCATGGTTATAATACCCTCCATGCATCATCAACCAACCAAAGGGTATACCCTGCAAGCCTGCCCCCTGGTCGTCAGCACATAGCCCCTCTCCCTCTCTGGGTCTACAGTCCCCAGCCACTCCATCTCTCCATGTCATCGTCTCTGCCTCCATCTCTAGCGGCACTGCTTTTCTGGGTAGGGTCTCACACTCTGCTCTTCTCCCGTGATGGTTCCAGGGACCTCTGCTCCTGGATTGCATAGTCAGTCACTCCCCTCCTTTTGCTACAAAACATCCACCTTTACGTTACCAACCCTCAGTCAGTCCTGATAACAATTATTCATTTGTACCACAAGAGTCCTATCCCCGTCTCCTTTCATTAGCCCCACCCAGGCAGATTGGATACTACTCAGTGGAGATTCTGCCTTCCTCCGCACCCTCTGGATCTAGGTTCCCTCTTGAAATCTTGTAAGCCAGTCACTTCTTGCCTTTGTAGCCCTCCCATTTTGGGTAGCCAATGTCCAATTTGCCCATCCCTGTTTACTTTGTGTATGGAGGGGGTGGGAATGATCCTCGCTGTACCTTCGGGCAGTATTTTTAAGAATGAGTTGTTTTTTTCTTTCATGTGATAAACATGAGTGCTATATGTTCAGTCAACCTTGTATGTTACCATTTTGGAAAAATAGATTATTTTGATAATGTATTTCCAGAGTGTGTACCACTGTGCTTTGTGGGTTAGGGATAAAGAGTTAGGGATCCTATCTTCAGGAAGAGGAAACAAATTAATAGATGTAAACAGTGTAGGAACTCAAAACTATTTTTAAATTAAGATACACTTCTTAACTTACATATAGTATATTTGGTGGTGGTGATGTGCCGTGGAATAAGTTTTGACTCATAGTGACTGGGTTTCTGAGGCTGTAATTCTTTATGGGAGCAGAAAACCGCCTCTCTCCCGCAGAACCCAATTCGTAACCATTATGCTTAACCACTAGAAAATGAGCAATTTAAAAAAGTATTCATATACTGATTTCAGAATAATAGATTAAATTGACTATTAAAAGCATTTTGGTTCACATATTGATCACATTGTTAGGGTGCAACTAGATATTAGTTTATTGAACTTCACAGATAAATCATGCTGATAGTGATTTTTGTGTGGACAGCTTTCTGGCCTATGTCTGCCTTACCAGTTGAGCTCCTGAATTCTTAGATGTATGTGTGTGTGTGCATGCGTATGTGTGTACATACTTGTCTGTTTTCTGAGAGATACACCACCACAACCACCACCACCAAAAAAAAAAAAAATGTTAAGTGAAATTCTAATTGGAAGTCACCAGTATTGCTAGAGAGAATAACTGAAAGATTATTATTGTTGGAGTAAAAATGGAGGTTATAAATGTCACTCCTCACCTCACTGAGTGAGACACCCAACTTTGCTGGAATAACTGAAAATGGAGAACATGGTGTGGGCCGATTTCATTTAGCTCATTGGAATATTTTGTTATATTTCAAGAGCAAATTTTATTGACTTCCCCCATAATCTGATTTAGATTTATGTAAAATGTGTCTCTCCCAAAAGAAATAACTAGGTTTTTCAATTCATTGGGTGGCATTACTTTTTGATGATTTCTTAATGCGAAAATTTTAAGAGATTTTTAGACAATTGTTTAAAATCATCATGACAACTAAATCAACTCAGTGTTTCCTTTGAGGTTTTCTGTCAGTTCTTATTTAAGGATTTGCTTATGTGCTCTTGGCTGACTAAAAACTCACTGCCACTGAGTTGATGCCAACTGTGGCTAACGTAATTTCACTTTTTCATACCCAAACTAAATCAAACCAAATCAATTGCCTTCGAGATGATTCTAGCTTGGCCTTGCGTTTTGCAGAATAGAATCTCACTTCATAGGGCTTTCATGGCTGTGAACTTATTCTTTCAGGGTGCCTATGGGTGGGCTAACCTGTCTGTGCTATCTGGAGGCTCAGACTAAATAAAATAACAAGTAAACATTGTTGAACTTCAAATGCTACTAATTGTTAAGTGCAAGTCATTCCTGGAAGTTGTCTTTATCTGTAGGTCTCTGGTGCTGCACCTCCTAGACCAGGAAGCAGTTTTGCGCATTTTGGGTTTGATGAACAACTCATGCACCAGATTCGGAAATCTGAGTACACACAGCCTACTCCAATACAGTGTCAGGTGAGTGGAAATGAAGTACAGTGGTATTCAATGACTGTAATGTGTTTTGCAAGCAAGGCAAAACATCAAAAGGATGTTTTATACAGAACTGTGTTGACATGGATAGGCAATATCCAAATACTTTGCTGTAACTTAGTCTTCAACTTTTTTTTTAATTAAGGGAAAATATAGCTTTAACGTACATGAAATTCAAGAGTAAATTATTTACCACTTCTCAGAACTTGCTAAGGGGCTGAGAATTGTTCCCTTACATATGATGCATAGTTTGAAAAAAGGATCATGAAGAAAACAGTTTGTTGGTGCTCAAGCCAACCTAAAAAAGTTTTGTAAATAGAATAACAATAATTAGGATGTCTGTATGTGACCTAAAATTTTATTACTGAAATCTATGAAAATCATCAATTTTGTTCCCTTCTCTTATATAGAATTCATTCATTCCTATACAGAAAATACCTTTTCTCTATAAATGAAGTAGTCTGCACCTTCTCAAGGAAAGAAAACGTTAAAATTTTAGCAGAGCTATTGTTATCAATATTAATTGCAATTTTTTCATCCCTATATTTCAAGGAAAGGGGAGTCATTCATATTCTTTAAATAGTGGCTGATTCACATGAAGAGAATAATAATTCTGTTTCCTTTGTAATCAAAAAGTTGATGGGAGGGTCAGGTGTGTGTATTCTGTAGTAGCTATGCATAGCCCAGGATATTTTTATTTTTTGGAAATGAGTGCCATTAGTCATTTATCTGGAATCCTGGTGTGATGCTATAGGATAAGCACTAGACTTGTAACTGCAAGATTGGTGGTTCAAACCCACCAGCTGCTTCTTGAGAACCCTATATAGGTCTCTGTGGGTTGGAACTGACTCATCATCACTTTGCAACAGTAATAATTGTCATTTGTCCTTCCTGAGAATTACCTTCAGTGCATTTTTGGAATTGAACTTTTAGGATGAATATGCTTCATTTTTCTCTCCAGGGAGTGCCTGTGGCATTAAGTGGTAGAGACATGATTGGTATTGCCAAAACAGGCAGTGGGAAAACTGCAGCCTTTATATGGCCCATGTTGATTCACATAATGGACCAGAAGGAATTGGAACCAGGTGATGGACCAATTGCAGTGATTGTGTGTCCTACTAGAGAGCTTTGTCAGCAGGTAAGTACTTTGTGTAGAATGCTCCCCTCCATGTGTGAACTAGCAGGGGACTGGTCAGTCCTTGGAAACTTTGGGCAGGTGTTCTGTGTTACACCAAATACCGCGTTTCTCTAGAAATAGCTATTTTAATAAAAGAGAAAAATGTTAATAGGGAATTGTACTACAAGCCCACGCTGTTTTTTTTCCTCCTGAGTTAATTCATTTTACATGGTATGAAAGCTAGGAAGTTTTAGGAAGAGAATTTGAAAAAAGAATTGTCCTTACTAGAGTTTAGATAGCTCTTTAAAATGCGATAATTATATTTTGCTTTCTATTAATTTACTTATTTATGAATAAAGTTTTGGTTTTTAAAACATGTGTTCTAACTTTTGATTTTCTGTGATGTTACACAGTATGCTTTTCAGAACTCTCTTTTGAGTAATAACAGGTCACAGTTTGTTAATACGTTATTAACAACTTTGTAGATCCATGCAGAATGTAAGCGGTTTGGCAAAGCGTATAACCTTCGGTCGGTGGCTGTGTATGGAGGAGGGAGCATGTGGGAACAGGCCAAGGCCCTTCAGGAAGGGGCAGAGATTGTTGTATGCACTCCCGTAAGTATGTCTTGGGTTCGAATGGCTTCTCGTATCTCTTGTTAAGTGCCATCAGGTGGGTTCTGACCCATAGGAATCCTGTATAGTGTTTCCGAGGAAATCTCTTAGTGTTAGACAAATGGTTAGTTATTAGAGGGAATTCCTTCTAAAACTGTTAAATCTAGCCCATGGCTTTGGGTGAAGTTTGATTGGTTAACTTTTAAATGGGGAATGCAGTGGCTCCATACAATAAACACTGGAATGAAAACAACAAGGTCCACGGTTTGAGCCTTCCAGCTGCTCCTTCTGAGAAAGATGAGGCTTTCTGCTTCCACGATTTAAAGCCTCAGAAACCCTGTACAGTGTGGCTATGAGTCGGAACTGACTCGATGGCACTTAACAACTTAAAAAACACTTGTCTAGTCTGTGGCTCCAAACTCCTCTTTAATTCAAATAGATTTTCATACTCTCCTAGAAAATCAGTCTGTGGTAACTGACAGCATCAAGAATAGAAAGAAATTCTGAGTCGCGTCAGAACAGTTTACGCAAGTTGTGTTCCGAACATTAAAGCCTATCACTAGGCTTTAAAGCAGGTTATTGCAGAAAGTCACAAAAGTGAGTCTGGCCACTTTCCCACAGACTTTAAATCCTAATTAATAATGTAAAGGAGAATCTAGCCAAGTTTTCAAAATTTCTGTTCTCTGGGGCTATGTAGTGGATACAGTTGGAGACTAGGTTGTTAGCACTTTTGTTAGCATCACAACTTTAGAATGTTCTTGTAAATCCTTTTAAATCTAACTACTCATTTTCTGGATCTGTAGGGGCGACTGATTGATCATGTGAAAAAGAAAGCTACCAATCTTCAAAGAGTGTCTTACCTTGTGTTTGATGAAGCAGATCGAATGTTTGACATGGGTTTTGGTATGCTTTAAGTACCAGTTATTTCTGTCTCCATCCTCTTGATAGAGTAGTTTTTTCTATGTATTTTTATTCTTGCTTATTTTTCTTTGTGTAAGAGAAGCTAAAACTACTCTTAGGTAGGTTTAGACTTTAAATGTTATATGTAGTTAAAGCCTTAGATGTTTTCAGGAAAAGTACAGTAGGCTTGATTGAGTTGAGGAAATCTGAGAGTGCTTTTGCATAAAGGAATATTTTTTCTTTTAGTCTTTGATTATGGTAGTCACACTCAGTGTTCATCAATTCAAGGTGTGTTCCTTTTTTGCTTCCTTCACTCAGTAGCCATTGAGTAGCCATTTTTATTGACTGGAACACCCCTCAGGTGTTGAAGGTAAAGTTGTGCCCATTTCACCATGGTATGTGCAGTAGTTTCCAAATTTCCTAAGTTATTATAACCTTCTATGAAGATTTTTGCTAAAATTACTTTTTCCAGGCCCCCCAAGTTGTAGTACTGGATTCCAGTATTAATTTTACTGTTCTGCTTCTTCCAGAGTACCAGGTGCGCTCCATAGCGAGTCACGTCCGTCCTGACAGACAGAGTATGTATGATGAAGCAAGTTTATTAAACCTCATTTATAAACACAGTAAACATTTAGTTAAAGTACTCATCGTTACAGAAGCAAAAATGATCATGTGTGTGCTGGTGAGAACCATAAAGGGATTATTAATGACTGACTGATCTGGAAAGGACATGGATGGAGATCATCGGGTAGACCCGATGCTAATTTTACAGATGAGAAAACCAAGGATCAGAGATTAAATGACTTGCCTTAATTTATACAATTTACCCATGAGTGGAGGCAAGCTACAGAACAGATGTGCTGGTGTGAAGTCAAGAGCCTTTTCCTGAACCATACTGACAGTCCATGTCTTAACTAAAAATGTAATAAAAAGAGAAAAGGGCAAATCTTTTTTTTCCTCCAGTGAATTAATTTTGTAACTAAATATAAAGTTTAGGTGGGTTTGTTTTTTAAAAATCTTGAGTAATTCTGAATGTCAGTAGGAATTTGACAGAGAAGTCCTATTGTTGCTTTAACAGAATGTGCTTTACCTTTTAGCTCTCCTATTCAGTGCAACTTTCCGAAAAAAGATTGAAAAGCTGGCCAGAGATATCTTGATGGATCCTATTCGAGTGGTGCAGGGAGATATTGGAGAGGTAACTCTAGTCAGGGTTGGAGGAGATGCCATTATGGAGGCATAGAATTAATTTTTCACAATTAAAACAATAATTATACTTTTCTGTTTTTGCAGATGAGGCTGCAGCGTTTTAGATTTGTTTTAAAATACACGTTTGCCCTCGGGTAGAGGTGGGACTGGGTATTAAGATGAAACAAGATTGGTAAAATGTTGATAATTGTTAAAGCTAGGCAATGACTACCTGAGAGTTGAGTTCATCTCACTTTTTTTTAATACTTGAAAGTTCCAATAATAAAACGTTTTTTTTTTTTTTTGAAAAAGCTAAAATAATAGTGCTTGCTCTAGAAGACTCTAAGTAAGGAGTTTTACTATATTAGAAATAATCTGAATATGTATATGAAAAAGAATTGCAAGGTATTGGGGCTTACAAATTATTAGTTATGTGGATACACCAGTGGAGATGAAGAGCAGAGTGAATGAAACGGAAGGGCAGTTTTGAGCTGGGCTTGCTCAGGGCTCTCAGGAGTGCAGAAAGCAACGATGATGCCTAGGCGGTCCTTGTTACGGGGCCTTGTGGCACTGACTGACTTCACAGTGACCTGTTTCCTTTCTTCCTTCTCAGGCCAACGAAGATGTCACCCAGATTGTGGAGATTCTCCACTCGGGGCCTAGTAAATGGAACTGGCTAACTCGGCGCCTGGTGGAGTTCACCTCTTCGGGAAGTGTCCTCTTGTTTGTTACCAAAAAAGCCAACGCTGAAGAGCTAGCCAGTAACCTGAAGCAGGAGGGTCATAATCTTGGGCTGCTCCATGGGGACATGGATCAGAGTGAAAGAAACAAAGTCATTTCAGACTTTAAGAAAAAAGACATCCCAGTCCTAGTGGCCACAGATGTTGCAGGTAGAGTTTGAATTTCTCTAATTAACTTGGGTTCCTGTTCAAAAACAGTGCTCTATGTTGTTGTAGATGTGAAGTATCAAGTTGTTTCCAACTTACAGTTACTCTGTATAGGGTTTCCAAGGAGCAGCTGGTGGATTTGAATCATGAACAGTGTGGTTAGCAGTCCAGTGCTTATTCCACAGCAGGATTCCTACTGTAGATGACCAAAGTATACTATCTGAGCCAGCTGGTGGAAGGCACACCTCATGGAGTGCATAGTGATTACAAATTAGAGCTCTGGGCCCCACTTTCCACTGACTGTCTCCTCTGGCCTATCCATTAAAGAATCCCTGCAGTTAGAGGGCACTTCAAAACAAAAAAACCTGTTATGGCAATAACATCATGGACTATGTGCCCTTGTATGTCTGAGTGTAGTATAGAACCTGCTGTCGAGTTTATCCCAATGCATAGTGAGGGTTTGTGAGACTGCAATTTTTTTAGGAGCAGAAAGCCTCATCTTTCTCCCACTTAGAGGCTGGTGGACTCAAACCACTGACCTTGTGGTGCTTATCCAGAAGAGCCACTGCACTCCTAAGCATAGTAGATGTGTGCATTGATTGTTTTGTAGGACCCACTGTATTTAAGGTCAGGTAGCATTTTTGAAGTATGGTTTTTATCTTTGTTCTGCCGAGTTTCAATGTTGTTGTTGTTAAGTGCTGTTGAGTCAATTCCGACTCATAGTCACCCTGTATAGGGTTTTCAAGGAGCAGCTGGTGAGCTTGAACCATCGACCTTGTAGTTCAGATGACTTTGCAGTCTGACACATACCAGGACTCTGCCGAGTTTCAATAGTCACACTTAAAATTTGCTGTTTTCTCCCCAAAAGGAGAAGACTCCAAGCTTCTAGACATATTTGATGCAAGTTTTAATTTTTTTCTATGCTAGTACGAGAGTGAAAGGAGCTCTGGTAGCGTAGTGGTTACGAATCGGGCTGCGAACCTTAAGGTCAGCGGTTTGAAACTACCAGCCGCTCCGCGGGAGAAAGATGAGGCTTTCTACTCCCGTAAAGATTTACACCCTCGGAAACCCTGTACAGGGTCGCTATGGGTCGGACCCGACTCGATGGCACTTAACAACAACAACAACAGTACGAGAGTGAAGGCATAGCAGGTTAGTATTAGCAGGCAGAAGACACAAGCCCCTTATACACTAGGTGGCCCTGCATGTCCTGCTCACCAAAGCCGGATACTGCCTCCAAGAAGGAAGCATAGACTGCACAGTTGGTTTGAACTGCAAGGTTGGTGGTTCAAGCTCACCTCTAGAGGGCCGCTATGGGTTGGAACAGACTTGACGGCACTTAACAACAACAACAACGAATTTCTGGTTACTTTAGTCTTGTGATTCTAGATAAATCATAAAGAGAATTTGGTTGATTTTTATTTCAGCTCGTGGTCTGGATATCCCTGCAATTAAGACTGTTATTAACTATGATGTGGCACGAGACATCGATACCCACACTCATAGGATTGGCCGCACAGGACGAGCTGGTGAAAAGGGTGTGGCCTATACCTTGCTGACCCCCAAGGACAGCAATTTTGCTGGCGATCTTGTCCGGAACCTGGAAGGAGCCAATCAGCACGTTTCCAAGGAACTCCTAGATCTGGCCATGCAGGTGAGGGACTAGACTCTCCAGATTGTGAAGTCCAGCAAGCATAAGGAAAATACTAGAAATTTGATAAAAGTTGGGAGGGGTCTAGTGTTAGAATGCTGTTCCTTTTTGTGCTGAAATCTCTTCTGTACCTGCTGCCCTTAGCACATTTAGGAGTGAATTTAATCTCAAAGATGGCTACTATTATCCCTACTGCCTTTCCTCCCAAAAATGTTATCTTTTTAAAAAACAAGAAACTTAAAAAACTGGCGGTAGGTGCTTGCCAATAAGTCGATTTAAATTCATAGTAACCCATGTGACAGAGTAGAAGAGCCCCATAGGATTTTCTTGGCTGTAATCTTTACAGAAGCACATCATCAGAGCTTTCTCCTATAGAGCTATCGCTTGAGTTCAAATCACTGACCTTTCAGTTAGCAGCTGAGTGCTTAACCACTGTGTCACCAGGGCTCCTTGTTCCTCAAACTTTTGATACTGGTCACCCCCTTCTGGGTGTGCTCTGGTCCAGAACTTCGTGAGATCCTCCACCAAATGAAATCTCGAGTTACCTCAATATATGGGGTCTTAAGGTTGCAAATTTACAGTATACTAAATAGCCTTTGAGGTTAGTCGGCATGCAAAACACATGTTCCAAAGGTAGAAACTCTTGTGTTTGTCAAATTCATAGACCAGCACATAAAGCAGCGTAGTGTAGTGCTGCCGGACTGCAGGCTCTGGGAGTAAAGAGCTCACGCTCAGAGGATCTGCAGAGACTTCCTGGGCACTCACAGTTGTTGCTTACCTGAGCTGATGCCACCTGTCAGCACTCCATTTTGATGGTACTATGTGATGGTTGGATAAACCTTTAACCTTCCCAGAGATGTTCCCATACTTAGAAGGAATAAATGTGATTAGTAGTTCTCTGGCAGTGATCAAGTTCAATGAAAACTTTCAGGCTCTACGGGTCAGTAAAGTTTATATTTGTGTGGCTACCAGTCCTCTTGGAATCTGTCCCTAGAGCAGAACCTAACAAGCTTTGCCTCCATTTTATCCTCTACTTCTTAACCTACCCAGGTCATTAAAAGCTCCATATGTATATATATATATATATATATATAAACTTTTATTGTGAATTATGTGATAGTTTACATGGGAGAATATTAGCTTTACATTCGTCCTTAGCTTTACGTTCGTCTTATTGTATATTGTTACATTGTCATGGTTACAATCCCTCCATCAACCAACCAAAGGGTATCTATACACCGCAAGCCTGCCCGCTGGTTGTCAGCTCTTTGCCTTCATCTCTGGTGTCACTGCTTCTCTGGGTAGGGTCCCGCACTCTGCTCTTCTCCCTTGATGGTCCCAGACTGCAAAGTCAACCACTCCCCTCCTTTTGCTACGAAACTTTGTTTACCTTTACATTTCCAACCCTCACAGTCAGTCCTGATAGTAATTATTCACTATTGTATCACATGAGTGCTATTCCCATCTCCTTTTATGAGTCCCGCCCAGACAGATTGGATACTACTACGTGGAGACATTCTACCTTCCTCCACGCCCTCTGGTTCTAGGCTCCCTCTTGAAAGCTTATAAGCCAGTCACTTCTTGCCTTTGTAGCCCTCCCATTTTGGATAGCCAGTGTCCAAGTTGCCCATCCCTGTCTACCCTGTGTATGGAGGGGGTGGGAATGATCCTCACCCTCTTTTGAGCTACTGCATCCAAGGAGCTCTGGTAGTGTAGCGGTTACGGATTGGGCTGTTAACCTCAGGATCAGCAGTTCGAAAGAGGAGGCTTTCTGCTCCCGTGAAGATTTACAGCCTCAGAAACCCTGTACGGGGTCGCTATGAGTTGAACTGACTCCATGACACACAACAACAACATCCACAGGTGTATCAAATTGTATCAGATTACTCTTTTTTTAAAAGCTCCATATTTTTATGTCAGTGGTATGTACACATTGAAAATTAGGTAAGCAGTGCTTAAGGAAGTTGAAGTGGCCCGAGTGAGTCGGCTGTATGGGATTTCTCTCCTCACTTTCCTTCTCTTAGGCCTGAAGGGAAGAGTGGTGAAGGCAGCTGTTAATAAGGATCTATCTAACCTTTGTATTAGCTAAAGATGAAACAGAAAGTCGTCCCTCCCATTTAATTACTTCTTGGATCTTGTCTTCTTCCTCTGGCCTAATTTTGAATTGTGTTCAATGTAGAATGCTTGGTTTCGGAAATCCCGCTTCAAAGGTGGAAAAGGCAAAAAGCTCAACATTGGAGGTGGAGGCCTAGGATATCGGGAGCGGCCTGGCCTGGGCTCCGAGAACACGGTGAGTGCAGACCACAGTGATGCCCTTGGGTTGATGTGAGTCCTGATGTTCCTATGAAACCTTAGTGACCAGTGAGTCTAGTGCTGCTGTTCGTGTTGTGAGCCTGCTGAGTTCGTTCTGCTCAGGACAGCAGTGTACAGCAGCAGTACTTCTCACATTGTGGTCTGAGAACTGGATGGAAATACAGGCCCCAGCCCTGCTGCATCAGAACCGCTGGCCGTGGTTCTGCTCCTTAGGAAGCATTGCCGTGGAATGACTCGGGTAGCTGTAGCTAACGTGGACATGGTTCCTGCATTCCATAGGAAACCTCCTCAGAGAGGCAGGAAGGAACTAGCTTTTTCCTCACAAGCCAGGTTTTAACAGCTTACTCTGACTGGCTTTTTAACAACCCTTGTTTTCTGTCACTTTGATTCCTAAACCAGAAAGGAAGCTGCCAGGCTACTTTCCTGGATAATTATAAGTTAACTGATGTTTTTGATTTAAAATATTTTCTCATGTTACAGTGATGATGATGACAGCTTCTTAACTATGACTAAATGCCAGGGCCATTCTAAGCAATCACATGGATTAACTCAAGACTTCACAATAGCTTAGTGAGACTAAATACAGAGGGATTCAGGGTTACCCGACTGAGACCCTTCCTGGTCTGGATTCAGAGCTCAAATTGCCTCATGGTCCTTTCATTTTTAACAGAGTTTCTGCCTAATTGAATAGGATTAATTCTTAGAAATAGAGTTAAAGGATCTAAGCATTTAAAAATGATTTTTTAATCACTACATCTTCTTCAAAGCCTAAGTAACTGTGCAAATTCCCAGTACCTCCAGTATTGAAGCCCAAAAGTGTGGCAGCAAGTGTTCCTACTCATCTGTTCTCAGGGATGTGTCTCCTTATGTTTTAGGACCGAGGAAGTAACAACAATGTCATGAGCAATTACGAAGCTTACAAGCCCTCCACAGGAGCGATGGGAGATCGGCTGACCGCAATGAAAGCAGCCTTTCAGGTCTGAGACAAGAATTTCATTCAAGTATTTACCACAGTTAGCTGGGGCATGATGGGGAGGCTGTCTTCCACAGACAGTAGCTGCATTTGTGGGATCAATGCTAGGATTTTCGTTGCTTGGATTTTGAATGTAAACTTAGAAGTAACTTAACATGGAGAAAAGGGAGAGCCCAGGGACAGCACTCCTGCTGAGAGTAGTGGACGTCATTCACACCCAGAGCCCAGGATCTGCGCTCCCTCCCGGCTCAGCAGCCAGCGGTGCTGCCTGCCTCAAGGGCTGCTGTAAGCTGGGAGAGTCAGAGTCACTTTTGGAGAAATATATTCATATTCACATTAATAATGCTGAACAGGAAAGAGCCACCGTTGATCAATGGTGAAGGACTTGGCTGCTAACTGAATCGTTGGTGGTTTGAGCCCACTAGCTGTTCCACGGGAGAAAAGAACTAGCATAAAGATTTACAGGCTGGAAACGGAATAAGTAGTCTTAGTCAGGTTTTGCTGTAAAACTGTAAGAACTTTGTGGATTTTGGGATTGCAAATAATGGATAGCAGACTCTATATGTTGAATTGCTTTGTTTTACCCAAGTTTTAGAAGTGAAGTGAAGTACATTGAGGTCCATTTCTCCACAAAGATCCCTGGCCTTTCCTGACACTGTAGTCATAGTGCCAAGATAGCATATTGAAGAATTTGTAAACTTATGTAAAACTTCCTCACTGACTCTCCTGTGTTTGTTTTTTTCTTCTTATAGTCCCAGTATAAGAGTCACTTTGTGGCTGCCAGTCTAACCAATCAGAAGGCTGGAAGCTCTGCTGCAGGGGCAAGCGGATGGACTAGTGCAGGCAGTTTGAATTCTGTTCCAACCAATTCAGCCCAGCAAAGCCACAGCAGCCCTGACAGCCCCCTCACCAGTGCTGCCAAGGGCATCCCAGGCTTTGGCAATACAGGGAACATCAGCAGTGCCCCAGTGACCTACCCTTCTGCTGGAGCGCAGGGAATCAACAACACAACTTCAGGGAATAACAGCCGCGAAGGGATTGGGGGTGGCAATGGGAAAAGAGAGAGATACACTGAGAACCGGGGGGGAAGCCGCCATAGTCATGGAGAGAGTGGCAATCGGCATGGCGACAGCCCGCGGCATGGTGACGGTGGTCGCCATGGAGAAGGATATCGCTACCCAGAAAGTGGTGGCCGTCATGCTGATGGCCATCGGCATGGGGAGAACAGGCACCGACACGGGGAAAGCCGGGGTGCAAACGATGGGCGCAATGGTGAAAGCAGGAAAGAAGGTTGTAATCGTGAGAGCAGGATGGACCCCAAGATGGACAGCAGCAAGACGGACAACAAGATGGACAGCAAGACAGATAAGACAGCTGATGGTTTTGCTGTCCCTGAGCCACCCAAACGCAAGAAGAGTCGATGGGACAGTTAGAGGGTATGTGTGGAAACATGAAATGCTCATCTTTAATTTTATTTTTAGAAAGTCTGGTAACTATGTGTCTCAGGGCTGTTTTAGAGCCCAAGATGTCAGAACGTTCTACTCCTTAGTGGAGAGCTGGAGCTTGGAGACATTACCCTTTCATCTGAATTACTTTTCTGAGATTTCTTAGGAAGCCGTTTTGGTCCTTGGAAGCAATGAGAGCTGGGCAGCGTTTGGCTCTGGATGTGTTGTCAGGAGGGTCAGTAGAGGGTATCTTGAAAGGAGCCTTAAAGCTCATTCTGGGTTTATATTACACGTAGCTTGTATTTTCCACTAAAATCCCACCTTGTAAACATCTACCAACAGAATTCTTTTCCTAACCGTGTCAGTCCCTTTTTAGGAGTTGGCTTCTTCAAAAGCCGTGAGGTTAGTGATGAGGACAGAAGCAGTTTGGTGGCTCCAGGCATTGTGGGACAGGGAAATGTCTGATTCTAAGTGGGGTGGATGCTCCGGTTCCCCTGCTAGGCTTGTGTCCAGCCCTGAGACACAGAGGTGGCAGGCAGCAGCCTTTCCTCCAGATGGAGGCCTTGAGGTTCTAAGCTGCTCTGACTAAATGCCAGAACTGGCCCTGGAAACTGCTCCAAGGTCACTCTGGTCTGCGATGTGTTGCAAATTTAAACATCTTAAAAACACAAGACAAAGAACAGCTTTTAAGGTGTCTTCATTTCATTGTTTTTTTTGTTTGTTTTTTAACTTGCCACATGGTAGAAAAATCTTTTGCTGAAATAATTTTGATGATTTTTGTTCTAGTTTATACAAGGAAAAGAAATATACAAAACTCAAATTTCGTGACTTTGTGAAGGTTTCTTTAAAATGTGCATTCCTTTCTGCTTGCTCTAGTAAACGTTTTACTACTGGGACATGTGGACTGTTTGTCATTTCTACTTCATGCAGCTTAGTGACCATAAATTTAGAACAGTACATCACAGAATGTGTGTAGTCAAAATAAAAGCTTTATTTACCTTAACAGTGATAGAACTGGGAGAAGACTTGAGTTTCACTTGTCCCCACAGACAAGACTACAAGAAATGCCACCTGACAATGACTTTCCCCTTACTTAAAAGGTTTGACTGGTTTCCTCCAGTGCTCACGGCATTCCAGCCAGGCTTTAATGAAGTCTCTTTCAGCTGGGAGGGTACCACTCACACCAGGAGAGTTCCATTGACCCTCACTCCCCTAATTTTTTCAGACAACTGCAGTACAACCAAGGGCAGGGTCTGCTCCAGTCTTCACAGACCTGGATCCAGGCGCTGTTTACTTCCGCTTGTGCTTTTTCTTCTGCTCCTTACGTTGGAGGGCTCTTTGGTCCTTCTTCATCCTTGAGTCCACCACCTTGAAATGGCCTCTGACTCCAGCTGGCCGGCGCACTTTGCGACCCACACCTCTTTTGGCTACAACATAGGTGACTTGATGCTTTTCCTTGCCAAGCCCAGCCTTCTTGTAGAGACTTCGCAGCTGTGCCATCTTCTCCCGTTCTGAGATATCCACTGTGTTCACCACAGCTTCTGCCTTCTTCTTGGTCTGCTCCAGTTTCTTCAGCATCTGTGAGGGGGCCTCTGTCACATAACCTCATCTTCGTACCTGTCCCACCCACCCCAACTTCAACAGGTACCACTACTTACCCTCCGTTTCTTTCTGGCCTTAGCCTCAGCCACTTTCTTGATGGGACGGGCATTAATTTCCCGCCAGCGTTTCCGGTAATGTTCTACTTCCTTCTTGTCAATGGGTAACTGTCTTATCCTGTGCTGCTTTTCTTCCTGCACAAACCACTCAGGAAGCTCATCCTCATCCTCATTGAACGTATACCTGCGGCAGAGGGGCCAATCACAACCTTCTAGAACAGGGGTGGAAAATGTCTGGCCCTGCCAAGGCAACCACTGTTCCAGCCATCACATTAGGGGTGAGTTAATCAATTAAATGGTTGACCAAATGTAATAGGCTAATTATTAAGTTGATAATTTCATAAGGCCCATGAATGTTATAAATTTTGGCGAGAAACCAACGACTTAATCTCCCTGCCCTGCGCCTCTTGTAGTTTTCTGAGCCCCTTACCTGCTGAAGGAGTTGTCTATGAGGTCTCTCTTGGCCTTTTTGGAAGAGACAATAACAGCACCTAAAGCAAGGCCTTCGGGGTCCAGTATCTGATGTTTGACTAGAGAGGGAAGGAGCCAAGTAAAACACCAACTAACTCCCAAAGCAAAAACTTCCAGTCACCCCTCCTACTCCACTAGGGACAAAGCTCTTACCTGGGTCCTCAATAGGTACAACTTCAAACCCATCGTCATCTGATTTAGGCCCCCGGTTCCGCTTCTTACCTTGGGGGCGTTCCCTAAAGCAGAAACAAAGGTGAACACTGTTGCTGTGCCAGAGACTACACTCCCACCTCACCCCATCCCCAGGAACCTGCAGCCCCAGCTTTGAGACTCACCCCCAATCACTCACCTCTCTGCATCCTCACTGCTACTGCTATCGCTGTCTGAACTGTCACTTTCTTCTCCTTTAGCGACAGTGGCAGCCTCTGCCACCGAAGGAGCTCCAGTCTCCTTAGGAGCCTCATTTTGGCCCCGGGGAGACTTTCTCCCAGTCTTCAAACTTGAAGGTGGCCGCTGCTGCTCTTGCCCCTTGCGACGACTCTCATAAACCAGCTGGGCCTGACCGATCTCCAGGGCCTCATCAGCATCATCCTCAATCCCATCAAAGCCCACCTGGACATGAGGGATCTTTAGCTCTCCTTCTCCAAGGACAACCCGTTCCCTATCTAACTTGGCCCTCCTCTACCTCTTCATACCTTTGAGAACCACAGGCTGGCCTGTTCTTCCTGTAGCACTGCTTTTTCCTCTAGAGGTACCAGCAATGGGTTCTCTTCTCCCTCCTCCTCTTTCTCATCTTCTACTTCAGCAAACTGCACACTGTAGATCCAGAGGTGAAAGGTCAGTGTCCTGGCGGTCTTGCTTCCCTACCCCTCCTCTGGCAATACCAGGACTCCAGCTCAAGGCTCATGCCAACCACTCTTCTGCTCACCGCTTTTGGTCCCTTGGACCCTGATGTCCCCCTCCTCCTGCTAGCTCCTCCAGATCCAGGTCACTGTCCAGAGAAGCATCATCATCATCGTCCTCAGCATCTGAGACATAGATGTCATCTCTTGGCAGATCGGACAGAAACGTGTCTGCAGCGCTCATGTCCCCTTGTGCTACTTCCGCTAACAACTAAAGGGTAACAGACACAGGAGATCAAATGTGTTTAAATGGGATGTTGGGATTTTTTCTTTTCTGGGTCTGCTCTCTTATAATTGATCTTCAACGTCACTAGGAAACCCACTATGACAGATGCCTATCTCCTTTTACCAACGGGGGGCGGAGGGGGAAGGCGCTTGGGCACAAGGAAGTGACTTCTTCCATCCTTCTCAATGGTAGAACAAACATGTTTTATGGTAGGTAAAGTATTCCATACCTTGTTGGTAAGTGCCATTAAGTTGGTTCTGACCCATAGACACCCTGTATAGGGTTTCCAAGGAGCAGCTGGTGACCTTGAACCACCACCCTTGCAGTTCAAACTGCTTCGCAGTCTGACGCATTGACCCACAATGCCACACCAGGAATCCACGCTTTACACAGCATCAAATCTTACAATGTTGCCACTTCTCCTTAAATACTTCAGTAATCCTGAAAAAACCCAAATCCACTGCCATTGAGTTGATTCTGATTCAGAGCAACCCTGTGTAGCATGACTGGGGAATTGACGGTTGCTACACAGGCAACAGCAGTTCAGCCATCACAATACCAGCTAACCTCACACACCTCACCAAAGAGAAGCAGTTTCAGTTATCACATTTGTTGTTGCTATTAAGCGACCCTGTATAGGGTTTCCGAGGAGCAGCTGATGAGTTTGAACCACTGACTTGAACTTCAAACCGACCTTTCGTATCCTACAGTGCCGCACCAAGACTCCTTCATATTGTTTCCATTCAGTAAAGTAGCCCGAGCGGCAAAACGAACATCATCCAGCAGCTTAGTGCAGCAGGCGCTCTAAACCAGAAACCAAGGCACGTGGCTCGCCTCTGAGGTGCCCTGGCTGCATCTCCTGTCCCTTTACATTTCTGCGGGGTGCCTCCGAGCTAGTTACGACGAAATCGCTCTCGTACTCACGCTCGGATTTACCCACCGCCATCCAGTAGATCCCAACTCACCAAAGCCTGCCTTCTGTCGCCCCAACCTAAGTCTTCCTAACTTCACTTTGTGTTCTTGTCCTTAGATACACAAGGCATCTGTTATTTCCCCTAGCTTCCTCACCACATCAGTTTATGGACGAAGACAGCAAGCATGACCTAGGATCATTCGGCCACATGTAAAATCATATCCAAGACCTCCTAGACTTGATCACCTACAGCCCCTCAGCCCCACCCACCTGGTGACCACGGATGGTGCGCAGGGAGAACATGCCCGTTTCACCCTCATCTGCGATGGAAACCCCAGGCAGATCCATCTTCAGCTCCACACGCTCCCGCTGCTTTCTCTGCTCTCGAAGCAGCTTCTTTTTCTTTCTGAGGGGATGGAGTTGTGGAATTGAAACTTTATTGTGCCCAGCTCTGAAGATCCCCACTGCACGCCCTGAACTATCCCCACTGCACGCCCTGAGCTCTCCCCTCTTCACACACTGTGGAATGCTGGGGGGAAGAGGGCTCCCTAAGCTCTTTCCCAGCTTCCCCTCACCTCTTCAGCTCTGCCACCTCCTGGGCCTTCATCTCTGCCAGGGTCTGGTTCAGTTGTTCCTCCTCTTCCTCCTCCTTAGAGGGTTGCCTTCTGGTCCCAGCTAATGACTCTTCCTCATCACCTTCTTCCTCTTCCTCTCCAGAGCTGAGGCTGACAAAATAGTCCAGGGAGTTTGGTTATTTCCCCAGGTGCTTCTCCAGAACACCCAGTCAAGACCCACCTGGCTTTGGTTCTCTCCTCACCTGATGTCCAGTGCCTTTGCCTGCTCTTTCAGCTTCTTGGCCACATATCGCCGAAGCTTCGTTCTCCAGTTCAGCAGGGACCTGCTCCAGAAATTCCATCATTGATCGAGCTCTCTTCTTCTCTGTCCCTAACCCCAGCCCAAATCTCTAGCATGGCAGCATTCCCTTCGAAGGTCTTTTCCTGCCTCCAGAGCTCCTGGTACCTGTACACCCAGCCTATACCTGAGCTCTTTGCGCCCCAACACTTTGATATCCTGACAGCATGCCTGGATGTCCTCAGTGGTAGCCGGATGCTGTGTCAACTCTTCATCATCCAGTGAGATCTATTTGTAAAGAGAGAAGTCAGGGGTAACTCACAGACCGTGTTTCTGGGGCTCCCCTTTACTCCTCAAGTCTGAAGACTCACTTCGCTGGCCTTGGAAAGGAAGTCAACTGGGTTGGCAGCTCGGAGAAAGTCGGTGACTGAGGCACGATGATAGAGGGTGAGGTCACCCTCAGCATACCCTTCAGCCTTAGAGGAAGAGAGGGAAGGTAAGCAGGCCCTCCCTAGCGTCTAGGAACCACCAGCCAACCTCTGGAGTTCCACGGCCTGTAGGTGGCCCCATTTCTCAAACACACCTTTGGCTTTTTTTTAGTCACCAACTCAGTAACACTCTTGGCCTGAACTTCTACCTCCTTGAAGGCAAATTTGGGGTCAAAGAATTTACTGTCCACCTTGTCAGGAGCCAGGAATCCTAGAAGGAGATAATATTTTTAAAGCGAGCCTTGGGAAGACTGAGTCAAGAGAAAATAGGAAGTGATGCCCACCCTGGCAGACTACAAAGATCTCCGCAGATTCATGGCGAGAGGCTTGTGGCTTGGTGGCCTGGACACGGCGGAACAGCTGCTGGAAGATCCAGAGCAGGGGCTGATAGTCGCGGGAGCGGAAAACCTTTGTGATGAAGGAGCCGCCACGAGCCAGAAAATCACAAGCCAACCGCAGAGCCATCAGTGTCAGATGGGCTGCGGAACAGAGACAGTCATCTGAGGGCTTCCTCAGCCTGCAAGGGCATGACCACCTCCACACCCATCACTGTAGCCTACCAGGCACCTTGTGAGTAAGCATCATGGACCCAGCTAGCCCCAACATTGGGTGCCCCATCATTGAGCACAACATCAACCTTCCAAGTCTTCAGCTCCTTCCTCAGGGCCTAGAGATAAGGAGAGATGGCAAGAAGCACAGGTAGGGCTAGGAACCGAGTCCCCAGGCCAGTCATTGGTGAGTAACCGCCAAGCACCAATCCTGGGCCAGGCGCAGGACACACCACGGTGAACAGAAACACCACACACTGGAAAAGGCTTCACTGATGAACATCTCTGTCCTTCCCACAAACCCTGACTCTGAACAGGCTGAAATGGACATTAGCACTACCTGAGTCTTGTCATATAGACATCACATAGTCACTACTTCCAAACCCAAGAACACACTGCTGTCCAGTCGCTTCTGACTCATAGTGATCCTACAGGACAGTACAACTGCCCCATAGGATTCCCAGGGCTGTGTGGCTCTGTAGGAGCAGCACTGGTAGGTAGTTCAAACCCACCACGTGCTCCCTGGAAACCCTATACAGAGTCACTTATGAGTGGGAATAAAGCACTTTACAAGAACAAACCTTTATGGGAGCCTCATCTCATTCCTGTGGCATAGATGGTAGGCTCAAACCACAGACCTTTTGGTTAGCAGGCCAAACACTTAACCCACTGTGCCACCAAGGCTCCTTAGTCACTGTTAAGTGACGTTGAGTTGTTTCCAACTCAGCAAAGCCATATAGGGTTTCAGAGGAGCCGCCAGTGGGTTTGATCTGCTGGCCCTTGTGGTTCACAGTCCAGTGCTGACCCTACAGTGCCGGATAGGAGTCCTGAGCAGGGTAAATGGGGAGAATCTTGCCTTCAGGGATTCTCGAAGAGAGGGGCATGAATGTCTGCACACGTTGGAGACAGGAGAAAGAATCCTTTTACCTGTCGACAGCGATCTGTGGTGATGTCTTCCTGGAGAGTCACCACATTCGGGAGAGGCTTGATTGGAACCAGGTCCACGCCTAGGAAAAAGCAGTTTAGAGGATTCCAAAGAGTTTCCACAAGCAAAATGGAAGAACAGATTTAGGAGGTCATATTTCCACACCCTGACACACCAGAAGAATCACCTGTCACTCACCCACTATAAGACTGGACACAGGCATAAACTTGGCAGCCACTTGCAGCCTGTAAATGCGATTTAAAAAACACTCAGGCCCATCCTTTCACCTCCCGAGACCCTGCAATGTAGCTCCCCCTGGTGAGAAGTCACCAGAATGTGTCATTGGGTAGACGTTCCAGGTCTCTTCTTTCCCACGAAGGAAGGAAACGGGCAAGATTTAGGAAAGGTTTATGCGTGGAGCTTGAGACTTGGGATCCCTCCCAAGGCCGAAACCCAGAAAGCCGCCTGCAGAAGCGACCGGCTGCGTACCATCCCCCTGGCGCGGCACACAGGTCCAGTAAGGCTCGGGCTTTCTGCAGGAACTGGAAGCGGCGATTGAGCTGGATCAGCTTAAAAGCCGAACGGGAGCGGTAACCTAGGGGCAGCGACAAAGCAATGAGGTCCACTTTACCAGTGGGATCTCTCCGGAGCCTCTCAACCCATCACCCCATCTGCATAAGTTGTTGTTGTTAATTGCCTTCGAGTCG